ATTTTTTACCAACATTTTAAAAAATCGTAAAATTTGCCGCCATGGGCCGCGGCCAATGTGGCCACCCCCTCAATCCGGCCTGTCATGGAACAAGGTTTAAATTCCGTTTGTTTGAAAATCAGGACCAAAGCAAAATTAGCACATTCTATATCACTCTTGGCAACGCTGAAATTAATTACGAGCTTTGCTCTTTCGATTTACTCCCAATTGAGCCACAGTAAAGTCAGGAAAAGGGATTGGCGTCGATAGAGGTACCGAGGTTTCATGTTTGCAATTGCAGCACTCAAATCAACGAGGATCGAGTAATGCGGACCGTTAAATTAATTTGCCCAATTATTACTGTGCGCCTCTCCAGTGCCCCAAATTTTCATTTTTGTCAAAATATGAAGTAGAGATCCAACCGATGTCCATGATTTTTGGAAAACTGGCGGGAATTAATTTCTAGATGAGTTCGCTGCCACCAAATTTGCGAATTAGGCAATCCAAATTTTGCGGGGAAATGGATTTTTGGAGACAGTCTGTCGGAATCTCAAGGGGCCGTGTCCGTGTTGAAATAATTTGCTCTAGGCAATGAATGTTAAGGTGATTCGATGGACGCCATATTTTGTGTCAGAACGGCATGCGATATATCGCATCAATTGGTTCCATTTTTCAGCTACTCGTCATTTTTCTCCAATTTTGAGATCGCAATTCTGTTGTCAGGAGACTAAAGCATTCACTTACCTATTCTAACAAAGAAATTCAACGTTATAAAGGCGTGGTTTTTCAGAGAGAAAACATCGCATTCGGTATTGATATCGAAACTGCACTAGATGGCGATATTTTCTCTATAAAAAAACCACGCCTTTATTACGTTGAATTTCTTCGTAAAAATTGGTAAGTGAGTGCTTTAGTCTCCTGACAACAGAATTGCGATCTCAAATTTGGAGAAAAATGACGAGTGGCTGAAAAAATGGAACCAATTGATGCGATATATCGCATGCCGTTCTGACACAAAATCTGACGTCCATCGAATCACCTTAATGTTAAGACAATTATAGGAACTACAATTCCTGGTTTTAGAAATTTCTGAGAAAATGTAGGTCGGTGGCGGGGTGCGATTGATTGATTATCGATATTTCTCCATTTTAAACTACTGTAAAGAATCTACTGTAGGTTATTGAGGTGTTCGTCGAGAACACTCTGTCTATCGATCCTTTTCCATAGGTTTAAATGGTAGATCAATCGGTATACCGCAAAGCGCGCCACGCCACTGACAAAGGTCCCTCGTCCTTCGGGAGGGACAAAGGGTCGGCTAGTGTATCGGCTGATTTGAAGGAATTTCAAGAACCCGCGATATGCAAGAAAGGAAGCCTCAAAAAGGCTTCTTTATTCTCTAAAAATATTGACTGTCAAAAAATAATCGTAAATTCCATCAACCAATGTCTTGACATATTTAAATTAAGAGGGAGAAATGATCCAAGATGCAACGGTGGAAGCTTTTTTGAAGTTACCCCTCCCAGCAGGGCACCAGTTTATCGCGACGAAAATCAAATTACGAGTGATCCTTTCTCACACCGTGGAGCTCCAATACTCATTTATCCGACGTTCATCGGAGGTAACTTGCCCGTTCGATTCGCTGTTTGCTTCGTTTGCAAAGGGTATTTTGGCACCCTTCGTATCAACCCCCCCCCCCTCCATCTCCCCGGTGCACCTTAATTTCGACCAGGATTGCCAGTATTCACGAGTATCCGGTTCTTTTGTGCGAATCGATTCCAGATGATAGGAGGGAACAGCCCGTTTTTGAACGAGCTATAGTAAGAATCTTGTCATCTATCGGACTGGTTATTGGAATTCGTAGACAAAGCTATGGACAGAGAGGACATTGGGAACCTGGAACGATCCTGTTGGTTGAAACGGGTGATTCTTATAGACTGAGGGGGAAAATGATGGACTGACTACACTGCCGAACTAAGGAAAAACGCCTAATGAGCCTTTAGGCATTGCCAAATTTCCCTTGGTAAAACATGCATTTTTGACGACATTCATGCATATTTTACCTTGGAATTTTCAGATGTTTTAGATTAAATTTGCGTGCAAAATTTTCTGAAAAATATGGGAAAAAATATTCACTATTTTTCCAGTAAATTCGGTTTTTATCGAAGGAAACTTGGCAACGACTGAGGGTCCACACGACGTTCTTCATTAGCACGGCAGAACAGGATCTCTCGTAACGTGGGTTGCCGTTAGTTAGTTTATTACTTACCGACCACCCGCTTCCACCAATAGGATCGCTTTATTTTTAGTTCGTCTTCTTTGTCCATTGCCTTGTCGATCAATTTCAATTTTCAACCCGCTGGCTGGGATTCGAACCTGGGACCTCCGAGTCAGCTATCAGTTGCGCTGATAAACTTAAATTCTCTGTGTACAGTATGCTCTTCCTCCTCTACTTTTTCTTATTTATTTTCTGTCTTTCCGTGTATGGTCCTTGCCAGATATTCCCCTTGCGATTCCATTCCCAACGATTTTTCAGAATATAATTCGAATTAATCGTGTAAATTAGACAGCGTCGGTCTGAATCAAGAAACGAAACACCGAAAAAACAGCCAACTGACCCCTTTTCGCGAAAGGAAGTGCGCAGAAATGACGGTTGAATTCATATTGCGGCATCGGATATTTTCCAATCCGAGTTGCCGTTTCACCTATAAAATTTCTCTATTGAATAGAGCGTTTTGTGGAGAGGAAAACGAGGAGGAAATCCGGCAACTAAGGTTTCAATTCACTTACTTAGTATATTTTGAAATTGTTGTGACCGCGCTGTGTTTGGCGGAATGCGTGAAGTATTCCTTCATTCTTGTAGGCGCTATGCGTGCCTCGTCGACCGCGGTGGACCGCGTTTTTGACGCAATGCGTGAAGTATTCATGCAGTTATGTAGGCGCTATGTGTTTTAGGTCGACCGCTGCTGACCGAGTGACCGCGCTGTGTTTGGCGCAATGCGTGAAGTATTCCCTCATTCTTGTAGGCGCTATGCGTGCCTCGTCGACCGCGGTGGACCGCGTTTTTGACGCAATGCGTGAAGTATTCATGCAGTTATGTAGGCGCTAATATGTGTTACATGCCGACCGCCGTGTTGAGGGCTTCTCCCTTTCATCTCAAATCCTCGTCATCATTGCTCTCTGCGCCGCGCCACTCCAGGCCGAATTGCGTGTTTGATTTCTCTCTTAACTCGACTAATTAAAGGTGCTGTCTCTTGTATCGCCGAAAGACGACAAAATTAGAAGTTACTGTACTCTTAGGAAATGAGAGATTGTGTCGCCTTTTCTCGTTTGTATTTTTTTTTTCTGAATCCGTTTTTTTATACCAACATTAATAATCCAATACCAACAATAAACAATATTAATCCGAATTAATCGCGTAAATTAGACAGCGTCGGTCTGAATCAAGGAACGAAACGCCGAAAAAACAGCCAACTGACCCCTTTTCGCGAAAGGAAGTGTGCAGAAATGACGGTTGAATTCATATTGCGGCATCGGATATTTTTCAACCCGAGTTGCCGTTCTCCGTATAAAATGTCTCTCTTGAACAGAGTATTTTGTGGAGAGGAAAACGAGGAGGGATCCGGCAGCTCAGGTTTCAATTCACTTACTTAGTGTATTTTGAAATTGTTGCTCCATATATGAATGCAGTCTCATAGGACTGTATATATTGAGTCGACTAAATTAAATTTCTCCAGAGTTGATTCATTTGAGGCTCTCCAATTTATTTACTGGGAGCCACTACTTCAGCGCATATTATACGGTTCTATACAGTATATCGATGGCGAAATTGCAGAAATGTGTATCTCGGTTACAGTGTTTCAAAATCTCCCGCCCTTTTTTATTTTTTAAAAAGGGACTGAACCATCGCCATCGCCTGAAATTTTCATCATATATTTTTAACATAGAGAAGAAAAATCATGAAGTTGTCAAGAATTGACGTTTCGTGGTTTTCCATGTGAAAAATAAAATATGACAAGAAGTCCGCAACGCCGCAAACCGATGCACGTATTTCTGTAGTTTCCCCATCGATATAAGTTAAATTTGTGTATGTTGAAGACCAAAAGTAAAATCAGGCATTTTGTCAAATGCCTGGGCAAATAGTCAAATATTCGAACTTAGATTGAAATTCTAATTCTTTTCCTAATTTTAGACAAAATAATTCATTGCTCCTGCAAGAAAAAGTTCTCGGTAAAAATTTGCATCACACTTTAGTATTTTGAACAATTTTTAGCTCCTGAACAGACACTTATCTTGAAATTTTCCGAATGTCATAAAATACAGAATTTTTAGAATTTCAACATTTAAAAATAGGGAAGCGATTGAAGAGGAAGAGATAAAAAGATTTCGTAGGTTATTTTTCCAAAAATAGTAAAAACTCGTGAGCTCTTTGCCATAAATTCACAAAATTTTATAGACCGTCAAAATTTAACTATCTGCCCAAGCATTTGACAAAATTCCCGATTTCACTATTTTCACTATTTCACTTTTCACTATTTCACTATTGACATGTACATAGCGTATCTTATCAACCAACTTGTGAACTTTTTACGGATCAACAGATCGTCATTTCCTCTGTTGTCTTGCAGAGCCCGCGCTTCTCACGACGCTGGCAGTGTTTAGCAATGGGCTGATTATTGAAATAATTGATGGACAAAGCGTTAGATACAGGAGACCAAAAGAAAATGGAATGATCCTATCGGTTGAAACGGATGGTTCTAACAGACTAAAGGGTAAAGTGATGAACTGACCATGCTATGGGGCCTCTCGTAGGTTGCCGTAAGCCGCAGTCTATCGCTTACTTCCTATGTCCACTGCAACCCCTCTCATCTACCAATAAGATCGCTCCATTTTCTCGTTGTCTTTTTTGTCTATAACTTTGTGTATCACTTTCAATAATCAGCCTGCAGCACTGCTTAATGTCAGAGACAAAGAGGCTATGACTATTATTACTGTGCACTAACTTTATATTTTTTGATTCACAGGGGCCTTCAGGCTGTACGATGTTGACAATGATGGATTCATCACTCGAGAAGAAATGTATAATATTGTAGATGCTATTTATCAAATGGTGGTAAGTAAAACTAATACTAATAGTACCTACTAATGATGGTGGTATTGTCATGATATTTAAGCAATGCTGACGCTGGAACAGGAAAAGTATCCACCACGATCGTAATGATTCTAACTTCTCCAATGAAATTATACATTCTTCAGTTCTCTTTGTATAAGCTATTGTAATATACCCCAACAAACGGTATCTTTGTGGGTAGAATAAGTAGTAATTTGTCTAAAGGGCAATGACACTTATATGAGTTTATTGCATACATCTTGAAATAGTCATTTGTGAAATGTTGATGCACTATTTCCCTGGTAAAAATTGGCAGTAGAATCTGTGTTCCAAAATACCATAGACCTAAAGACGGCTGTGAGATTTTCAATAGCTTCTATAGCCGGATGCACAATTTCTTATAGCCTTTTATAGCCGATGGCGATTAAGCAACAGCCAGGCGATAAAGTTTATGCTAAATGTTACTAATAACGGATGCTAGGATTATTGAGTTTTTGGACTACCGCTCTATTTTTGGGCCATAGTATATTGATTTATTTTGCGCGGAAAGCTGCGTACTTTTGAAGGATGCCTGCCATTCCTAATATGTTGGAGCGCCTTCAATTTCGTATGATACTGTGCAATACCTCTGGTGTGAAATAGTTGCTTCAAGCGCCGTGGCACGCTGCGGCGCGGCGGGCGGGTAGCCAGCGCGAAAAGCGTATTAGCGCAGCGCCTACAAACCTAACAGGGATACTTCAAGCACTGCGCAATGCGTGAAGTATCCCTGTTAGGTTTGTAGGCGCTAGTGCGCGCTTAACTGTGGCAGCACGCCGCTCCTCTCTGTATTAGGCTCCAATATATAATCTCGCGGAGTCAGCGTTTTTCAACCCATGATTTTAAAATGTTTCCACATCCTGTATGGATTATTCTCATTTTAATTGATGAAAAAAAATATGTATGAAAGGAAAATATAATGTGTGTTTTGTAAATATTATGGTGGTTCCGTATCAAACTTAATGATTTCCAAAGCGCACGAATTTCTACACAATTTCTTATAGCCTTTTATAGCCGATGGCGATAAAGTGTAAAGCCCGGCGATAGGAGCTATAGCCCGGCTGTATACTTTTTTTATTGCTTCGTATAGCCCGGCTATATGATTTGCTCCGCTTTCTACAGCCAGCTATATGATTTTCTATTGCCTTCCTTGGCCGGCTATAAGAATTCCTATGGTATTTTAAAACGCAGCTCTTATCGCCAATTTTTACCAGGGTGATTTAACGACGGCGGAAGTCCGCAATCACATATCTCTAAGTTATTTTTTTAAAGAAGAACAGATTGATTTCATTCCTTGAAGTTTATGCAGAAAATTTTTCGCACAGAGAAGAAAAATCACAGCAGTTTCAAAGAATGGCCGTTGAGTAGTTTTCCGTTTAAGAAATAAAGTATGACAGGAAGTCTGCGGCGTTGTGAACCGAGTTATGTGATTGCCGACCTACACCGTCGATAATTATTTCCATTAGAGCTGAATGTGCCTATACTGCCGTGATAAGGAAAACGTAGTATGAACATGCGAGGGTTGCCAAATTTTCTCCCATAAAATGTTTATTTTTGTGGAAAAATATGAATTTTTCTCCTTGATATTTTCAGGAACTTCAGAAGAAATTGCAAACAAAATTACATGAAAAATTGAAGTAAAAATATTGACAAGTTTACCGAGAAATCCGTGTTTTATCAAAGGAAATCTGGCAGCACCTGAAGGTTCATACGGCGTTTTTCCTTAGCACGGCAGTATATGGTAGCTCTTATTTCTCAAGAGGAATCATACAGCCCTGAGCACACGCACCTCGGTTTACATATTTATTGAGATCATGCAATCGCCATCGTTCATGAGCCACCATTTGAAAACCTTAGGGACAAACTTATCCTTTATCTCTTGGTTGGGTATCCAAACCAGATGGCAATATTCACCGGTCTCATCCACATCCTCAGCTACGTCCAGGTACCCTGCCATGACCAACAAACTATACCACATATCTCTGAATCCTCCGAAGATCTCCATGAAATTTATCTCCTCGTAAATCCTGTAAAAAAAATGTGTGAGCCTTTCAGAGACTTCTGCAAACTTGTAGAATCTGCCCGAAATAACCTTGTGCACTAGGATGCTACGCAATATTCAACATGGCCGACGTACGGTGGATCCAGTCATAGGTCGGAAAGGAAACTTTAAACGCTCACAACTCCGTTTAGACAAAACTTTGAGGTTCTAAAACTGGTTTCATTGTTTCCCGTAAAGCGTCAAAATTTGACTTCCGGTCCAGGCATTTGATAAAATGCCTGATTTAACTAATTCCCTTCGACATCTATGTATTCCGTAATTTTTTTTTTGTGGATATTTGCGTACTCTCCCCATATAGGTACACACGGAGAGAAAAACCTCGTGCGTGGGACCCGAAGTTTAGGTCATATGGATCTCTGCAGTTTTCAGATTGAGCATCTGAACACTGAAGGTCTAGCTGTCGAGGTTCGGATCACACATCTGAAACTTCAGTTCTTACATCTGAAGTACTTCAGATGTGAGAACCGAAGTTTTTCGGATGTAAGAACCGAAGTTTTTCGGATGTGAGAACCGAAGTTCTTCGGATGTGAAAACCGAAGTATTTCAGACGTAAGAACTGAAGTTTCAGATGTGTGATCCAAACCTCAGCAGCTGGACCTTAAGTGTTCCAATGCTCAATCCGAAAACTTCAGAGATCCATATCCCTGCTAAAAATGGTGAGTACAAATGAGTAGAAAATCATAGTCGTATGAATAGAATTTCAATTCATATGATTAGAATTTCAACTCAGATGAATAGAATTTCAACTTATACGAATAGAATTCAATTTATATGAGCAGAATTTCTTTATTCACTTTTTGCCGACTCATATGACTAGAGATTCCAACTTTTATGACTAGAGATTTCAACTCACATGAGTTCAGCGTTGAATCTACCGTATCCGATATCTCAGAAACTAGTCACCGCATCAAAAAAATTATAAGAACAAGATGTTCTTATTTTTCAAATTTACATACCATGTCGGTGTCTCCTGGTCAAAAACACCACTTCTGAAAAATGAAAAAAATTGAATTCATACGAGTTGAACTTTTCTACTCTTATGAGTAGAATATTCTAGTGATATGAGTAGGATTTATGAAATTCTACTCATGTGAGTCGGCGAATTCTGAATAGCCTACTCATCATTTTTAGCAGGGATGACCTAAACTTCGGGTCCCACGCACGAAGTTTTTTTCTCCGTGCACTATCTTTAGGCATCTAGCTTCAATACGTGTCGCTGCTAATACCGTTACCTGTCGACGATGAGCCCCTGGTTCTGGAGGTGGTGCAAGTCGTCGACCACGGGTCCCTTGGAGACCCGGACGTCGATGGTGAGGGAACTGGCCGAGTCGAGCCAGTACTGGTCGAGCTGACCGTCGTGGACGAGGCATTCCATGATGGAGTGCGGGTTGAAGAGATTGTGCTTCCCCCAAGCGAAGCCGTTGTAGTAGTGCTTGATCTCCGCAGCCGGCATGGAGGTCGGACACCGGGCTAGTAGTGCGTCCACCTCCGGCTCGGTGAACCCGAAGTGGTCGGTGAACTTCTCCGAGTGCAGCGAGTACTGAGCTACGCTCACGTTCGCCCGTTTGAACGGGTTCGCTTGCTCGAACAACACCAATCCTGCCGGATACGAGGATTAATTCAATTTCACGGAATGGAGATGTTGCATGTGTGAGGGATTTGCGATTTGACTGTTGTTTCTTATGCAAAAGTTCGCGAGAAACACGATGGTGCCACTGGTTTTCTCTGAAATCATCTCCCAAGCTCAAAAAAAGCTCTCGAAGTGAGGCCAAAATGGAGGGGATATCCCGCCCTACCCTGAGAGTCCACCTCTACATCAAAACAAACTCTCCATGCAAAGATAGGGAGCAAATACATTGACAGGGCTGCCACTTCATTTGGGGACTCCAAAACTGAAAACACGGCAACCCTGCTAATGTATTTGCTCCCTATCTTTGCATGGAGAGTTTGTTTTGATGTAGAGGTGGACTCTCAGGGTAGGGCGGGATATCCCCTCCATTTTGGTCTCACTTCGAGAGCTTTTTTTGAGCTTGGGAGATGATTTCAGAGAAAACCAGTGGCACCATCGTGTTTCTCGCGAACTTTTACATAAGAAACAACAGTCAAATCGCAAATCCCTCACACATGCAACATCTCCATTGCAGGGTCGGAGTTGCACAGTGCAGCGAAAATATTGTAATAATTTTGCAATATAATGCAATAAAATTGCAATTTTTTACTACACATAAAGAGAAGCACGGAATTGTTGGATGATATGGGCATTTCCAATTAATTGAGGTAGTACCCCAATATTTGATAGTGCCCCTTATAAATGAAATTACGAACCCAACTGTTGCGGTGCTACCCCACCTTGAGTTGCGGCACTACCACATTCAATTGGAAATGTACTTATCATCCAACAAATTGGGGTAGCACCACAATTTTAGGGATAACCCCCTTTTTCCGTGTATGCAGTTGTGACATGGACATGCCTGCATAATTTGTTCTGTAATGCTGATTTTAAACGATCTGCAGAATGAGTACCATGTGTGTGAAAGGTAGGCCAGTTGCAATGCTAAAAACAATTGCAACTTGTTTCAATTCAATCGCAATAAATTTGAATAAGAGGAACCCCTTCAATCAGAGAATAGACAACATACACAACACTCCAGTACAGCAGCTTTGATTTTACCGTGTTTCTAGCTCAGCTCAGAGCCGGTTGTACTACGATGTCCTGCTAAGGAAAAACGTCGTAAGAGCCATCAGGCATTGGCGCATCGCCAAATTTCTTTCGACGATAAATCACGAATTTTAAGGAAAACTTGTGAATATTTCTCTTCCGATTAATAAGAGAATTTTGTTCGTTATTTGATCTAGAAATGATAATCTCGAAGAAATACGTCCATAACTTTCTTCAAAAATAAATATTTTCTCGGAGGAATTTTGGCAACATTCGAACTCTCATATGACGTGTTTACCTGTAGTCAGAGCGCCAGACAATGTTTAGTGACAGACTCATGACAAGAGTTTTGACCACTTAAATCTGCACTGACACGAAAAACGAGTGTCTGTTACGTTGTAGTGTGTGCTATTACGTGGCAGACAACCTTTTTCCGTGTCAGTGCAGATTTAAGTGGTCAAAACTTGTGTCACGATTTTGTCACTAAATATCCACTGGATCTACTAACACGGGAGCATGGCCAACCCGTAAGAAAATTAATCGAAGAATCAGCTAAACGAACCTGTAACAACGCATTTGTGCACGAACGGGGAGTTGACACTAAACGCGAAGATATCCCGAAAAAGCCGTATCACATCCTTGAGCTCTTTCTCCTTCTCCATGAGCTCCCAGTAGGAGCTGATGATTGGTGTGTCGTAGTCATCGATTAGGAGGACGACGTTCTTGTTCCAACGTTTGTGGAGGAGCGCGCTGAGGAAACTGATTCCGCTGCGCACGTCGTGTTCCGTGAGATCGGCCACAAGGTATCTCTCGAAGCGAGCTTTCTCTTCGCCGTGGAGGGAGTAATGTAAGTACCCGTGGGTCCGGAAAAGTTGCATCAGTGTCACTTTGAGCACGTTCAGAATGCGGGCGTAGCCGTAGCCTTTGATCGGCTTGAAGCTCACGGAGATCACTGGGTACTTGCCCATGTGCTTCATCGCCTGAAATTATTATAAAATGTGTATTTTTGCACTGGAAAAAAAAAAAAAAAAAAAAAAAAAACATTGGATCTTGAGTCCAGACTCTTAAAACCATTGACAAGAAAAAGGACTCTTGATTCAAGCAGATTTAAGCTGAAATCAAAAGGAAATCCGCTCAAATTAAGAGGCTTGGTTCTTGATCTAAGCTTAAATCTGATTGAATCAAGAGTAGTTTTTCTTCTCGATGTTTTTAAGAGTCTTGGACTCTAGATCAAATGTGTTTTTTTTTTCCTGTGTGGTTTTGACAAGGGTTAAAAGAAAATTTTCTGATCTCAAATGTGAAATGATCAAGACACGATTCGTTACTAGCCCTCTAAAAGTCTCTCAATGCCCATGTCCATCAAAATAATTATCAAATATTTAGCAGCTTCGAACGGCATATCGCGCTCGTGCTGTGCCGTGAACTCAAGGAAGTTTAAAACGCCTTCTATTCTACCTATAGGCAACACAGGCATCCGTAGAGCACTAATAGTTGCATCAATGTTTTCTCTTACCATACCCGTGCGCGTGCGCTGACGGATGAACCACGTCTACTAATTGGAACAATGTTGCTATTGTTTTTTTCTTCGCCTCATGGTTGCTTGTTGCTTATTTTGCTGTATCGTAAATATGAAACTCTGGCCGTCGAAATTAAATACATTTTTTGGATGGTGAAACTGCAGAAACGAAAATCTTGGGTTGCGGATTACGGAATTCGCATCATAATTTCTTTCTTATTTTGTATTTTTTGAAGCCGAGCCTTGAGTACAAAAAATTATTGCAATTATTTTTAATTTATTTTTCAAAAGGAGACCGAACCAATATTGTGGCTTGAAATCTCGCAAGATATTCTTGTGGAGCTGTAAAAAGAGCGACTGTATGAATACGGCCTTCATTGCACTTTCGGAAACATGGGAGCAGTGGCGAAGCCTGAATGATCGATTATCGATGTTTTCCCATTTAAAGTTGTGGTAAAGAATCAATTATTAAGGTGTTCGATGCGAACACCCTATTTTATTGATCCTTTTCCACAGGTTTAAATGGACCGCGTTAAACAGAAAGGAACCAAGCCACATCAGCTATTGCCCAATTTAATCGGGCAAGTTAATTTTTTTCATGAAAACGGTTGTGCGGATTTTCGTGCAAATTTCAGTGAAAATTCTCCATAATTTGAAGCAAATTCCTTAAAAATTTCAAAGGAATCCGCACAAACGATCTCTCGTGAAAAATTAAATTGCCCAGTTAAATTTGGCAATAGCAGATGTGGCTTGGTTCCTTTCTGTTAAACTCGGTCCAAATGGCCGATCAAGCAATGTATCGCAAAGCATACCATGTTACTGCACGGGAACCTTTACCTTGGAGTGATTGGTGATCTTAAGGGCCTTGAAGACATGCCTGCCGTCGACTCCGAGGTCCACGGCACCACCTTGGAAAAGACGATGGTTGATGCGGGCCTCCTCAGCAATGGGTGCCCCGTCGGAGCTGATCTCGGTTTCAAAGAAGCGTCGGAGCATGGCCATGTTGGTGGTCTTGCCCCAGTTGCGGGGTCGGACAACGACGACGACTTTGGCCAACTCCTCCAGGACGTTTCTGATGAAGAGGCTCTTGTCCACGAAGACGTCGCTCCACAGGAGCATCTCCTTGAAGTCCTCGAAGCCCGAACGGACCCGTGCTCTAGACCTCGAGCTCGTAAAATTTCCACTTACCACCAGATCTGGAATACCGTTCATACTCTGTTTTTACATCAGTAGTTCCTCAGTCCTCACTCCTCCACAAAACGCCGCGCCGCGCGCCTGACGATTTATCGTGATACGACTATTTTACCACTCAGGAGCCGGTGTAGTATACTCTCTTCTTTGAAGGCGATTTCGGTTCCCCAAGTCGAAACTGTCAAGCAACACAATATCTAATACGGCTTCCTCGAATCTTATACTATTGCACGTAGGTCCTTTTTCAAGAATCTCATATTGTCTTTCGCTTTCCATTTGGACCGAGTTCGAATCGGTTCATTTTGATCATGGAAACAGAGTATAAAATAATTGTATATAATCCAGTATAAAATAACTATTTGTCCATTTTACCGATTTATTGTCCAACCTAACTCGAGGAAAGCGATAGACACTATGAGATTCTTGAAAAAGGACCTACGCGCAATAGTATGAGATTCAAAGAGGCCGTATTAGATAGTGTGTTGCTTGACAGTTTCGTCTTCGGGGACCGAAATCGCCTTCAAAGAGGAGAGTATACTACACCGGCTCCTGAGTGGTAAAATAGTCGCATTATGATGAATCATAAGGCGCGCGACGTTGCGTCGTCGAGCGAAGAGTGAGGGAGAACTTTATGAATGCACTCTCATTTTATCCCTTTATTTTCATCTCCTCTTTTCCCTTTTCAGTTTTCCACCCCAGTATTTCGTCTCTGTTATAATGACACCTAGTAAAACCGTTGGTGCGCCACCCTTAATCTTGCCCTGTGCAGAAAAGTTTTAGGAACTCCAGCTCTCGAAGTCGAGGGTACCCAATAGAGGATTTTTTTAACGTTATGTAGTTTTCATGTATACTGGGAGAAAGTATTTTGGATCCTGAGTCCAGACTCTTGAAAAATTTGAGAAGAAAAGATACTCTCGATTCGATCGGATTTTTGCTTAAATCAAAAGGAAACCCGCTTGAATAAAGAGGTTTGGCTCTCGATTTAAGCAAAAATCCGATTGAATCAATGCATTTCCTTGTCAAAGTTTTTAAAAATCCAGACTTTGGATCCAAGAGACTTTTTTCCAGTTTAATCAAAGAACACAAAGGATGTGTGAAATCGAAACTTACCATGAATTCCTGAAATTAGGACGATTAAACTTATTTTCAGCACCATATTGAGCTCTTTCAAGTATATCCCTTCTATAATTTTTTCGGGTCACTCTTAATAATATTCAAAGTCAAAAACGCCCACTTTTTGTCTCTACTCATTCCACTAGAGTAATTAGATTAAAAAAGTGCAATAAAACTAGTTTCACCCAGGTGTTAGCTGCACAGATATTTTAAATTTTACCGCCCTTTCTTTCGAGAAAGTTGATGGGGTGAGTTCCATTTTGACCGATTTTAACCTCCTCTCAGTCTCTTGGGATTCTTCCCACCGGAGTAAAGAGTAACTACAGATGAAAGGTTATTTCATTCGGGTTCACTCTGTTTTATAATGGACAGCAGCACAGCGGGTCAATTTTAAAATTGTTATCGAATGATCGATAAATCGATTGATCGATGAATCTCTATTTTGACAATGCTATTAATCGATCAGCAATCGAGTGGAGCTTTGATTGCTCCGGTGTATTACTCTTATATAATTCAGCAGCTCTTCCGAGGGAAAAAAGACTTAATTGTATTTTAAGATGGCCATTACTGCTCCCGCATTTTCACGTTCTCCAAGGTGCAAGTAAAATTGAGTCACGTCGTTCTTCTCGAATGACAAACTCCTCGAATTGAGGACTTGATGAACGACGAATTAATCACCGGTGTCTTTTGATCATTGGGGCGATTAGTGAGCTTCTCAAAGGCTGCAACAGTCGCGCATTTTAATCGTTCCCGACTAGGCTGCCACGTTGTACTAAAAAATCAGTGATTTTCTCAAAAGGACCTGCATATAGAGAGTATAGATGTCGAAGGAAAATAGTCAAATCAGGCATTTTGTCAAATGCCTAGGCAAATTTTCAAATATTCTTACTTAGAGTGAAATTTTGATCTTTTACCCTAATTTTAGACAAAATAATTCGTTGTTCCTCTAATAAAGAATTCTCTGTGAAAATATGCAGCATACGATAGTATTTTAGTCTAACACTCACCTCCTTTATCCAAATCAACCACCCGCTTCCACCAATAGAATCGCGCCTAGGATTTTTTGCTGTGTCTGTCAATTTCAATAATTAGCCCGCAGCACGTTGGATTATCGCCGATGCGGTTCATGTCCGATCTTGGCGGTTTTAACGAGGCTCCAATTTTTCAACCCTAAGATTTGGGACTAAGATTTGGTCCATACACCCAAGAAAAGAAAAACTGACCAAAAATATTATGAACCACACTTTATATTACTTTATCCTCCACACCAAAAACAAATTCTCGGCGTTTTTACCAAGGTCCGTTGGTACCTTTACCATTTCAGTTTTTTTACCAATTATTGGTAATTTTACCAAGACAGACTGGTAAGCTTACCTAAAAACCGGTATTTTTACTGTTTTTTTCAGGTAAGAATACCACTTTTATTGGTAATCAATTCCCGGTAACTTTGCCATTTTATCTCGGTAATTCTACCACAGTCGATAAAAAATATTGGCGTTTTTACCAAGGTTCAGTAAAATTACCGAGAAAGTTCAATAATTTTACCGAGCTTTCTTGGTAAAATTACCAATTCCATAAATGGTAATTTTACCGAGAAAAAACTGGGATCAAATAGAACCCTGAATTCTTGGTAATTTTACCCTAGCTTTTCTTAGTAAATACACCGAGATTTTTTTTTCAGTGCACTTGCCATTTTGACACGAAAGGTTGATTACTTTTTCTTACTGTTCAAAAGTTTGCAATAATAGACTCGTTCAAACTGCTCCAAGCAATCTGACAACATTGTCCCCTATCGTTTCCTTCCCGATTTTCCTTTTCTGGTGGAAGCGTCTCGTCCGGGGAAGGTTGCCGGGAAATTATGCTCGACATCTTCGCTCAACCTGACTGGGATCGTCCGATGATAAAACGCCTGCCGCCAACCTTTGATCGGGACCTTTGTCGTATAATTAACGCCTTTGGAATAAGGTCATTGGCGTGTCGTGCCTAGCGCTGAATCCATTGATCTACCATTTAAAACCAAAGGGGAAGCATCGGTTATTAAAGTATACCTAATTTATCGATTCTAAGAAAGAAGAGATTTAATTAAAATATGGGTAAACAAGGCTGAAAAATGATTAAAACACTAAAAGGCAGGACGTTTCGAGCTGTTACCAGCTCAATTTCAGCTGCAAAAACACATAAAAACAAGTAAAAAATTGAGTGGCGACTTGACCCCAGCCGTTATCACGTAACCACTCTGGGCGTTCTGGTGGCATCTGGGTACGTGATAACGGCTGGGGTCAGGTCGCCACTCAATTTTTTACTTGTTTTTGTGTTTTTGCAGCTGAAAATGAGCTGGCAACAGCTCGAAACGTCCTGCCTTTTAGTGTTTTAATCATTTTTTAGCCTTGTTTACCCATATTTTAATTAAATCTCCTCTTTCTTCGTATATTCGCTACGTTTTTGTGCTTTATCGATTCTTTAGTGTAGCTTCGGATGGGATAATATCGATGGCAGTCGATAATTCGCCTCGCCTCTGGACGTGGTGTCAGTGTATCGCGCAGAATTTTTGGGATATGGCGACTAGATTTGAAAGTCTCGTTCGAGGAGAAAATAAGAGTCTTGCGCGATTGAGCACAGGGGAGAATCTCATGAGCTACCGCCTGCGGCGCACTATGGTCCAAAACTCAAGAATAGGAAGAAATAAGCCGGATATAATGAATGAAAGATCACGAAAGTTTCGTAACTGCTGTTTTTTGAGTCGCTAATTTCGAATTTGATGTCAAATTGCCTACATTTTGACACCCTGACTCATTAATTGTGGGCAAGTTTATGGCACGCTGCAACGCGGCGTGCTGTCAGCTCGAAACGCGCACCGACGCCTACAAACCTAAGGGGATACTTCAAGCATGGCGCAATGCTTGAAGTATCCCCTTAGGTTTGTAGGCGTCAGTGCGCGTTTCGAGCTGGCAGCACGCCGCGGCACTCCCGACGGGCGGGTGGTGAACGATTTCTTGTGGAGAGAGCTCCTTGGCGGAGAAACTCGTAAATCGTGTAAATTTTTTTTTCTTAATTTTTGAATTTTAAAATTACACACTGGTCGTGTGAAGTAATTAGTGAACTCTCAACGCTATATGAAGTGTAAAATGAAAGGCGGGTCGTGCGCCATGAGCAGGGCGGCTCTTGAAATTATCTCCTGTGTTTTTTCGCGCATTTAATATTAAATACAAGAAGTTCGTGACCGCTTAATCTTCCCGCGTTTGCTTTTCAGCCAATCAGACACCCGACGGCCGCTTGAAGACTCCTATAGAAAGTAACATGAGACATCAAAACCATATATTTTTTCGAATTCGGCCGATTTTGCGGGAAAAAGATGTCGGAAAAATGATTTGGTGTTTCAATGGCGTTTAAAACATTCCTTTTCTTCAAAAAACACCAAGGATCTTAATTTTTGAAACTTCGGTTGTCTTCTATTTGAGTCAGCGGGACGGTTAAAAACATCGACCCGAGTGGAGAAAAATTGAAATTTCAAAAATCCAGATCTTTGGTGGTTTTTTTTTTGAGAAAATGGAATGTATTATGCATTAATTGAAATGCCAAATCCCTATAAAAAGCCAGCTATGGATACCTTTTTCCCGAAAAATCGGTTGAATTCGAAAAAAATTTATGGTTTCGATTTCCCATATTATTTTCTATGGGAGTCTAAACGTGGCCGTCGAGTGTCTGATTGGCTGAGAAGCAAGCGCGGGAAAATTAGGCGGTCACGCACTTCTGCGATTTGATGGGGACTATTATTTTCTCCTTGGGGTTTCAGGACATTTTGTCAACGATTTTTTGTCCGCGCACCTTCTTTGTCCGGTATTTTACGCCCACACGTAAAATAAGCAACAGTGACTTGGTCCAAGCGTTATACTTTAGTCGGTATGTAAAATTATATTGACAATATGGAAATGAGAAATTGAGAGAGAAGGAGGTATTGTTATGGTTGCTCATTTTTTAAATGAAATGTTATTACTTTCTCCTTTTAAATCATCTTTTTAAATTCTCATTGGTGAATATTTGGTGTTATTTCCATCCTTAAAATATTGAATGCACAATATACCTTATATATGTATAGGTACTTTTTTTATTTTTTTATTTTTTCTTTACGAAATTATTACTTCATTTTGAAAAAATTCATATTTTTAAAACGTGACAAATATTTGTAAAACCTTCTCCAAGCGACATTAATCTCAATGAGCCGCAGTTGTGCCGACAGAAACTGCAAAAATGAATAAAAGAGGAAAAAAACCAAGAAGCACGCAATCTTTAGTTTTAACTTATTTGTACATTGATCTTTTAGAGTCAAATACGTCAAATTTTGAGCGTTTCGTTGCGCGTACACCTCGCTGCAGCACAATAAAAGCACAAAATGTAAAAGAAAAAATTAAAGTGCTTTGGAAATCATTAAATTTGACACGGAGCCACCAATATGTAAAAAACACACATATATTAATTCTCCTTTGATAAATTGATACATATTTTTTTCCCATCAATTTAAATGAGAATAATCAATGCAGAGTGTGCTAACATTTCAAAATCATGAGTTAAAAACGCTGACTATGCGAGTGTGAATATTAAAGCCTAACAGAGCGGAGCGGCGCACTGCCAGCACGAGAGGCTCACTGGCGCCTACAAACCTAAGTGGATACTTCACGCATTGCACAATGCTTGAAGTATCCACTTAGGTTTGTAGGCGCCAATGCGCGTTTCGGTTCGCGCTGCTGGCCGCCCGCCTGCCGCTCGGCGGCGCCTGAAGCAACTATTTCACAACAGAGGTTTTGCACAGTATTATACGAAATTGAACGAATTAAGAATGACAGGCATCCTTTAAAAGTACAGATCTTTCCTCGCAAAATAAATCAAGATACTCATCGTACACAGGAAAAATCTAAGAGCCTTTAGCTGAGGCAAATATAGAGGTTCATTCGGTTCAGGTATAACAAAATGGGAATTTCTTGAAAGATAATTAAGTCCTGTTACACCAAAGAGGTGTAGAGAGTTTTAGTGAATTTTGTCTCATGGAATTGACGCTCCCCCATTTTTACCAAAACTCTCAACTATATATTATTCTCCGTTGGACCAAACAGACAAAACAAAAAAACAAGCAAACCCTCATTCTTCCAAGACATTATTTATTTTCATCCAAAAACGTCGTGAGCAATTGTCGTTTGTATTTACATGTGGGCCGATAATTAACTGTAGGTCTCAACTGGCACGTGGATCAAAACTCCTGTGCCGAAAAAACGCGTGGACGTTAATTACTGGAAAAACAGGAGCGCGGATACAAAAAATGTCGACGAAAACGAAATGTCCTATAAC